ACCGGACATCAATCCATGCTCTCCAAATGTTTCTGAACAAGTCTCTCCTATTTCAAACTTGTAAGTAACAGCCAGGCAAGGTGTGTTAGTTTTATCTTTGTTTTCTCAACTTGTAAATGTTCCTTTTGCTAGAATGTTTATCTCTGTTTGCTGTAACTTTGAACCTAAGGCTAGAGGGGGTTCCTCTGGGCTCTGTGAATCTGATTACCCTGTAAAGTTATTTTCCATCCTGATTTTACAGAGATGATTTTTACCTTTCTTTCTTTAATTAAAAGCCTTCTTTTTAAGAACCTGGTTGATTTTTCCTTGTTTTAAGATCCAAGGGGGTTGGATCTGGACTCACCAGGAATTGGTGGGGGGAAAGGAGGGGGAATGGTTAATTTCTCCTTGTTTTAAGATCCAAGGGTTTGGATCGGTGTTCACCAGGCAATTGGTGAACAAGTCTCTCAAGGCTACCCAGGGAAGGGAGTTAGCACTTTGGAGTGGTGGCAGCAAAACGAGATCTAAGCTGATAATTCAGTTTAGAGGTTCTCATGCAGGTCCCCCACATCTGTACCCTAGAGTTCAGAGTGGGGAAGGAACCTTGACAGGGTTTATTATTGATGAGCTAAGCTGAAATAAAATTATCTTAATTGAAATAAGAGTCTTGTACTTTAATCAACAGTGTGAATTCAAACAGATTTCATTATTGCAGTGTGTGCAGAGAGGCCCTTACGCTGTTTGGAAATTTCATACAAACCATCCTAGAAAGAAAAATGACCTACAAAGAGAGACAAAGAAGCAACGAGTGTTTGGAGCCTTCCCCATATCCGATTCTTGCCTAGAAGAGCACAGGCTGCGGAGTGCTCGCCCAGCAGGGGTGTGACTCACAAGGCTTTGGTCTGACAGACTCATGGGAAATGCCCAAGAGTCACAGACAAGGACTGAGGTTAAAGTGCCTAAGGTGAAAATTCTATGTAACCCCCTCCCCCCATGCTTCTGTTGCTGTTCCTTTTAAACAGCCCACTGACTGCAGCTAGTTGGGGACTAGCAGGTAAACAAAGGAAAAAGTTCATGAGCCCTTGCAGCATGCTCAGTAGGGCATCTCCAAGGGTGGGGGGCCAATTCCACTCCCAAATACAGTAAAAGCTGTTTTATCTGGCATGTTCGGGCAATGGGGAGTACCAGTAAGTGAAAAATGCCAGTCAACTAAGGGAGAGAGTTTGGGTGCAGGAGAGGCTGGGGGTTGGGGTACGGGACGGGGTGTGGAGCGCAGGCTCTGGGCGGGAGTTTGGGTGATGGAGGGGGTTGGGGAGCAGAAAGGGGGACGGGCTGCCGGATCCTGGGGCGCTTAGCTCAGGCGGCTACCTGCAAGTGGCGACCTGTCCTGGCTGCTCCTAGATGGAGGCATGGCAGGTGGCTCCGCGTGCTGCCCCCAGTGCATTAAAATTAAAATGATGAGATACACAAATTACAAGTGTATTGGAATTATTATCTATGATTGTCTGTCATACAGCAGCAATTAGAGGCACTAGTCTGGGGCCCAGCTGTGTTGGGCACTGCACACACATCACAGGAGACAGTCAGTGCCTTGAAGAGTTTACAGTCTAAACAGGCAAGATGGACAAAGGGTGAGAAAGGAAACAGAGGCACAGAGGCTTGCCCCAGTCCATGCACAGCTCAGTAGCAAAGGCAGGAATAGAACCCCTGTCTCTTGATTCTCAGGGCCCTGCGCTATCCATCAGACAACCCTGGCTCTCATTCAGGGGTGTTTTAGCTTATGTGCACATGCTTCATGTTGTCTACCAATCGTAGGGAGCTGCTACATAATCCTGCAGTTTCCTGAGCAGGAACAAGAGACTGGTTCTTCCTTTAATGAACACAAACAACACCTCTCAGCAGGGACAAAGGATTGGATCAGAAGAACCATTGGAAAGAGCTGAGCACTGCTTAACTGATGGGCAGGGAGGCTAAAATCTTCCACTACTTCCACTTAGCTACAAAGATAATTTTACAAACATTTGTGACCCCCTTGGGCAGAGGAAGGGCTGTGTGCTCCAGGAGAAGGAGAGTGGAGAAAGAGAGAGCAAGAGGGCATGTGTGTCTGTACCTCCTGACAAGAGACGTACAGTGAGCGAGCCCTTGCCTAGTGAAGCAGCCGAGAACCTGCCCAAAGCCCCAGAGTGACAGAGCAGCTGGCTGGGGACATCCCAGGATGGGAGCCAGGAAGAGCACTGTGCCAGGGAAGAATCACCTGAGAAGAACAAACCAGAGCCAGACCCAGTTTTGCTGTCACCCAGAGCGGTATGGGGCTGTGAGTACTGGGGCTTGTGACTTTGCATTGGGATTAAGGTGGGAGGCTGCCTGTTATCTAGCTGAGTGGAGAGGTTGTTGCTCTGTGTGGGTTTGCAGAGAGTGGCAGAAGAGGGCACCGGAGAGGTTTGCTGTGGAAAATTCATTGGTATCAAAGACGACCAGGAGCACCCAAGACTCACTGCTGCACGGGAACTCAGCCCAGGACTCCTGAACTCTGAGTGTAGACACAGAGCTTGGTGTCTGCCCTGTGACACTGTGAGTAGGCCTGTGGTACCTTGGGTTGACTGTTACTTGTTTTACCGGCGCTCCCATATTTTCCCCCCTTCTGTAAATAAATATTTCCCTTTCCCATTGTCATAAAGGTGTCATAACTATAAAGGGAAGGGTAACAGCTCTCCTGTGTACAGTACTATAAAATCCCTCCTGGCCAGAGACTCCAAAATCCTTTTACCTGTAAAGGGTTAAGAAGCTCAGGTAACCTGGCTGACACCTGACCCAAAGGACCAATAAGGGGACAAGATACTTTCAAATCTTGGGAGGAGGAAGGCTTTTGTTTGTGCTCTTTGTTTGGAAAGTTG